AAATCTCTAATATACTTAGCAGCCTCTTCTAAAATCTGTTTATAGTTTTGATATGAAACTTGGATCGCAAGGCTTACATCTTTTGTTGGTGGATTTGCTTGTATTCTTTTTGTCGCTTCCTCAATTCTTCTCGATAAGTCTTTACAGATTTTTTTATGACGTTGAGCTGACTCTACCATGTCTATGATTTGACTTGCTATTTTACAAGCGGCTGCTGCAAACGGCAATATTTCACCAATAGTTTCACCGATAATGACGCCAGCTTTAAGAGTTGTCATGGCTATTTCCCCAATATGTGACTGGTTGTTGGGTAAGCTAGTAGCATCCCTAGTAACCTCTCTAGTAACCTCTCTAGTAACCTCCGAAGTAACTTCCGAGTTCATGTTATAAAGTGTATAATAAATAAGAGATAATTTATTGATTCGAAGATAGTTATTATTCGAAAGAAAAAAATGTTTATTGAACTTTTCTACATGCGAAATTTATCCGCTAATTTGTGTAATTATGTTCTTTCGCCCCATCCATTAACGTTAATGAAAAAATAAATCTACAATATTAGAATGAACGTTGTACACACTACAAAGAAGCCTTTTGAGTTGCATTCTAACAAGCTATCATTGTTTATATGCTATGCAGCACAAATCGACTAATTTGTATTTAATTAGCGTTAGGATAATGCGTAGTATCATTTTCCAAGATTGGTAATTTTGTGTTAACGTTAACGTTAACAATAACGATAATCTTTGGATTTTAAAGCGAAAATAAGAATCGTGTTGTTAATAAACAATAGATTATTTTTTGCTTATGAAATTAGAAAAAATAATAATTGACAATAGGTATGTTTCTTTAAATTAAAAATAACTATAGCGATAGTAAATAACGCAAAAGATTTCCATATTTTTATAAATCTTGTTTTTATCCTCATACACTTTAGTTCGAATGTTCAATTATGAAGAAAGACTAATTATTTTTTCATCAAAGCTTCTTGATGTCTTTGATATATGCAAAAGACAGTACGAAAATAGTTTGAAAACGAAAAATACAGACCTAAATATAACGAGATATTTGTATAAAAAGGATAATAATTTTTGATTCTTCATCAAAACCAACAAAATCATATTAGAGAAATACTATCACTATGGTGCAAGTAATCTATAATCAATAATAAATTGTATGTTTTAAAGTATATACACTACTCTAGCAAAAGTATTCGTTACAACTTTTTTAACATTTTTAATACATTGTGGGATTCCCTTTGTTTTTATATTTTCAACCAATTTAATATAGGTATCTGCAGAAGTTGCGAATTCTTCTCAAGTTTGAATATTGAGAAGGCCAATTTGGAACATTTTTGCAATTAATTTTTACAAAACCGCAAAAAAATCGTGTCTAATTTTGCTTCATAACATCTAAAGTCATCAAACGTTTGTATTTTATAAAATGTATAAACTTCTTTACTAAGAAGTAAATACAAAATT